TTCTTCATGTAAAATTTGAAGATTCTAGCTCTAATAGTTTCTCAGTGGGAGCTTCAAGCTCCCCAGATGAAAGCTCGCACTTTATCCCCAAAATGTTCAGATGAATATTACAATAATTTTAAGAATCAATTTCTATTAGCTTCCCAGATAAACGAAATTTTATATTTAATTCATATGGGAGGTGAAAAGTTCCCCATTGAAAGTCCGCCCTTTATACTCTTAATGTTCAGATGGATGTCAAAATTCTTCAAGTAAAATTTTAAGATTCTAGCTCTAATATTTTCTCAGATATACGAATTTTTCTATTTAATTCATATGAGGGCTTCAAGTTTCTGCCACGCCCCCTAATACTAGTCAGCCTACTTTTTGTCCTAAATAATCATATTGACACTAAAGTGGCTCCGACAAAATTTGAGGACACTAACTGTTATATTATCTCAAATATACGGACTTAATATTTTCTTAATATGGGCATGGCTCCCCGCCCACTTGGAATTTCAAAATAAAAAGTAGCCCATTTACCTATTCCAGACATGCAGGAATACGCTGTGAAGATTTGAAGAAAATCGGTTCTGCTGTTTAGTAGTCTAAAACGTTCAAACATACAAACAAACACACATTCATTTTTATATATATAGATAAGATATAATAACAATATTTCTCAGTTAAACTCATATTTTAATAATCAATTGGGCGTTATTTCGCCAAATTTTTATAAATTATTAAAGTATATTTGTTAAACATATTTAACACAATATTTAATTAACAAATATTTTAAATACACACATATTTATTGTTAAACAAAATAGTAGAAACATTGTTTAAGAACCACAAATATGGCAACACTAACAAAAAACTGTCGCACGCCTTTTGAGTCTCCATTTAAACGTTCATTATTTTACGAAGGGCATTTAAAGGAGAATTGAGAACGCTGCGGTATGTCCCCTCAGCTAAAAGTGCTCATACTCAACAATGATATTCAAATGTTTGGTGATGCCATTCCATTTATTTTCTACCTCTGTCACTAATATACTTCCTATCCATTTTAATTGACCTTAAAAAATCTTATTATTATTAAGAAAATATTTTCTTTTACCTATTATAGTTTTCCATTTCTTTAAAAAACATTTTAGTAATATTATATATTTTAGTTTACATTTATTTGTTTGTTGTGGTTTTACTCTTAAAAAATGTCAAATGACGGTTAACGCCTACTGACCGTGCAGATGAAGTGCATAGTATTTTTTCAATTCAGTTGTTACTTAGTTATATTTCTTTTATGACTAAATATCTAAAATTTACGATTCTTAAAAGTACCTGTTTTGCCTTGAGCGATAAATTCGATACAGGCACTAAGAGAGCGTATGATACGCACAATAAAAAAAAATAAATAAAAATATAACTTTTAATCAGGGATTGCAAATAATTATTATTGATAAATTTTCTAGATAAAAAAATTTTATTAAAAAACTTAACAAATAATGATTGTTTTCTGAGTGTTATTTTTTGTTCAGAGAATAACAGTTATTGTGAGAGTTGAATTTTTTCCGTCAGAAAATAATAGTTATTATATGATTTTTATATTTTGTTTATTTTTCATTTAGAAAATAATAATTTGTTGGGTTTTATTTATTTATTTTTTTTTGCTTATAAAATAAAAATAATTTTTGGAATTTTGATAATATAAGAGAAAACTAAGATATTTAGTGCAAGATATATGATTCCTTATGATACTTTTTCATTAAATAACTGGTAAATTTTGAAATGTATATAATATTTAATATAAAAATATGAAATTCAATATATAGGGTCCTAAGTAAATTCATTTCTATATGAGTAAACTTTATGGAACTTTTTCATTCTACAGTTGGTACTTTTTGAAAGTTAGGTATATTTAACATAAAAATATGAAATTGCACATATACCAAGTACTTTTTCGTTCTTCAAAAGGTACTTTTGGAATTTTCTATAATATTAAACCTATACGCAAGAAATTAAGCATGTAGAGCTACTTTCTTCTTCAGAAAGTACTTTTGAAATTTCGGTTTATATTTACATTATGTATAACTCTCCAATTTTGAAAAAATATTTACTACTTATAGACCTTTTAATTCTATGATTTGTTATACATATATGCCCTTTAGACAGCAAATTTTTAGTTTTGAAGTTATAGACCTTTTATGTTATTATTTAAAATATCAATATTATCCCTATTCATGAACCGGTCGGTATATCGTTTGAAAGAGCTTTCGATATATATTAGGACCCTATTTATTAAGGTATTTTTTATATTGATTTTTTTGATAACATTTTTTTGATAAATTACGATATACATATTTTCCGGATCGGTTCATGAATATGGAAGATATTGATAATATATTTAAAAACTTAAAAGATCTATAACTTCAAAACTAAAAATTTGCTGACAAAAGGACATATATAGCAAATCATAGAATTAAAAGGTATCTTGGAGACCTTCAGATGAATATTTAAGTTCTTCGTCCAAAATTTGAAGAATTTTGTTCCATTAGTTTCCCAGATAAACGGATTTTTGTATTTAATTAATATGGGAGGTGCCGCTCCCATCATGGGTCCGCCAATTTATTACCCAAAATTTTTAAATGGATGTTAAAGATAGTCGTGCAAAATTTTAAAATTCTAAATGTTTCTAAATGTTAATATGTAGTTTGCAAGATAAACGAATTTTTGTATTTAAATTATATATTTATATATATAGTCGCCTACTTTTTGTCCTAAATTATCATATTGACACTAAAGTGGCTCTGACAAAACTTGAGGGCTCTAACTGTTATATTATCTCAAATATACGGATTTAATATTTTCATAATATGTGCGTGGCTCCTCGCCCACTTGGAATTTCAAAATAAAAAGCCTATAACCTATTCCAGGCATACAGGAATTAATTAAATACAAAAATCCGTTTATCTGGGAAACTAATGGAACTAAATTCTTCACATTTTGGAGGAAGAACTTAAATATTCATCTGAACATTTTGGAGACCTTTTAATTCAATAATTTGCTATATAGGTCCTTTGGTCAGCAAATTTTTAGTTTTGAAGTTATAGAACTTTTAAGTTTTTAAATATATTATCAATATCTTCCATATTCATGAACCGATCCGGAACATATGTATATCGTAATTTATCAAAAAAATTTTATTAAAAAAATCAATATAAAAAATACCTTTTGTGTGATTGGGACTTAATGGGTTAATAAATAGGGTCATATTATATATCAATGAAAAGGTATTTCAAAGCTCTTTCAAACGATATACCGACCGGTTCATGATATTTTAAATAGTAACATAAAATATAAATTTCATAAATATTATATAAATTTCAAACTTTAACAGTTGTTTAATGAAAAAGTACCATAAGGAATCATATATCTTGCACTAAATACATCTTTATATTATCAAATTTCAAAAAAAAAAAAAAAAAAATATTTTATAAGCAAAGAAATAAAACTCAACAAATAATTATTATTTTCTATTTTTTATTTTATCTGAAAATAATTTATTTTTATTTTATCTGAAAATAACTGTTATTTTGTGAACAAAATATAAAAATCACATAATAACTATTATTTTCTGAGCAAAAAATAAAAATACGTTTTATTTTCTGAGTGAAAAAGCTGTCAAAATAGCTGTTATTCTCCGAACAAAAAAAGCTTAGAAAATAACCATTATAAAGTAATGGTTTTTAATAAAACTCAAAATGGTTACAGTCCCTGCTTTTAATACTTCCTTAGCCATGCTACAGTACATTTTGCTCTTCAATGGGTGCTTTTTGAATATTTTATAATATTGAACCTAGAAACGCGAAATTAAACACGCAGCATACTGATTGAGTGACAATTTATAAAAGGGAAATTTCTGGTACTTTTTGGAGTTTATGATTTATTGAACTTAGAAACTTAAAATCATTTATATAGGATCCTGATGGAATTTATAAGAGTAAACTTTTTGGCACTTTTTTATTCTTCAACTGGTACTATCTGAATCTTTTTTAATATTAAACAGATAAATATGGAATTAAACTCGCAATGCCTTGATTTGGAACTTTTTCTTTTTTTACTTTTTAGTGGGTTTATGCTGAAGTTTGTAACGCACAATAATATTAGTCCTATACCCTTAAAGTATACCAATCAGCTTAGAATCATTTTCTGAGTCGATTTAGCTATGTCCGTCCGTCCGTCCATGTAAACCTTATAATCGCAATTTTGAAGATAATTCAATGAAATTTGGCACATGATCTTCTATTGCCCCAGGGACGAAACCTATTGAAAATGGTTAAGATCGGTCCATTATTTCACCTAGCCCCCATACAACTGAACCCCCGAATAGGGGTTGTAAACTTTTTAATCAAACTACAGGTCGCAATTTTGAAGACAATTCAATGAAATTTGGCACATGATCTTCTATGGTAACGGAGACGAAGCCTATTGAAAATGGTTAACTTCTGTCCATTATTTCACCTAGACCGCATACAACTGAACCCGACGAATAGGGATTTTAAGTTCATAATTATGTTTAATATACTCGTATCTCGACAAAAAGCTGATGACTTTCATGAATATCCTCTTTACAAATCCCCCTTCAAAATTTGACTTCAATGTCCACAACTTTGTTCAACAATAAATGGCTTAAGTATAATTCAAGGCAAGGTACAATTCAACTAAAATGCTTTATTATGAAAACTCAATCACATTTTATTTTTGTAACAGATGTAGGGTATTATATGGTCGGCCGACTATAATTTCATACTTGTTTCTTAGGTGTCTATCCGCTATGAAAATTTTTAAAAAATTTGTTTTATTTAAACCCACAGATGTTAAATATATGAAATAAATGTGAAAATAAATATAAACACGACCGTTCAATTTAAGACTAAGGACAACTGTACTGGTACTAATAGGCTCTTAACTTTTAGGCCCATATTTAAGTTTTATATTCACGTGAAGATATTTTAATATTCCAGGATCCACAAAAACGAAGTTTGGTGCAATTATGGGAATTCCCTTTAACTATGCTATTGGTAATGTTGAAGATATTAAAAATTCTGGCGTTTGTTATCGTGGTAACGAAGTTAATTGGAATACTGAATCCGGCAAATTGTTAGGGGATGCTCTGGTATTAACAAATGATGAACAAGTATTTGGACTTTGCAAAACGCTTCTTCAACTTCAAACTAATCACGTTTTAATGAATTCGTTGTTTCCATCAGTTTCGTTTTTAATGGTGTATTCTGTTGGTCACTACTTAAATCAAAGTTTAAATCTTTTGCGGAGACCACTAATCGTAAGTAAATGTTACACATATTAAACTTTTAGATGACGCACAGTGGTATATAAATAAAAAAGAGGGAAATAATTCTGTAAGTTCCAAACGATCTGTCCGATTTTATTGAAATTTCACAAACGAGGAAGTATTGACGAGTTTAAATTTTTGATTTTCTAAATTAAAATGCTTTGGATTCAGTCATGATCTTTAAAAATTATTTCACTGTTCGATATATAAATTTGTTGTTAAGCGACTAAAATAGAACCAAAGAAAATCGGGAAATAGTTGGAACCGCTGATTTCAAAAAAAATATTTTCAAATGCGAATATCTAGCTATAAGAAATAATTGATATCTACGACGATGTTTTGTCATTTCTTTTGCGATCGGAACACAGACGATGAAAGGGGATCGTTTTAAAAATTTTACATACCTGATGTGTCCTATTCATTAGAATCGGACAAACCGTTAAGAAGTTACAGAATTATTCCCTCTTTTTTATTTTTATACCACTGTGCGACGTTCACAATGCACCAATAATTTCCCAATTTCGCGACTATTCACCATCCAAACTTTTTTAAATCATTTTCGAAACCATTTATTCTTTTTATAAGAATTTCTTGGGGAAGTGATACTATTTTTCTGAAAGGTGAATCCGAGTAGAGCAAGAGACGATCTTTTGTAGCTTTAAGTACCTATAAGTTAGTAACTTAGTTGAATCTCTAACGATATTCACAAACAACATTTTTATTTTATAAAAGGTTTATAAAACAAAATTTCCATACAAAATCTAATCTTTAAACAATTTATATAATAAAAATTTTGTTTGTGAATAAGGGGGTTAGAAAGTAAAAGCTGGGGCATTTGTAATGACATAACTTATTTGATCCTAGTCCCCACGCAAACCATTCTTAAGAAAATTACGTTAATTCCACAATTCTCTTAATTATGTAAATATCTTTTATATAAACATAAATTATTCCTTTATATCGTCCCATATTTAAGCCTATCCCTCATATAAAGCATCTTTCAGAAAATCAGTTTTTGAACAAATTTGTATTAAAAAAAGATCAATAACGTCGTCAATTGCTAATGGATTTAAAAAAACGTTGCGCTATACTCATGAACATTAATAAATAGTACAGTTTCTATATAAAATACTTTTTAAAAACATCTCCAAACTTCAAAAACAGTGCAAAAATAAAATCAAAAATACACATATTTCTGTAGGGTACTTACTATGTCATTATAATGGCTTCTGCTTTCTAAATCCGATCACTTAAAAGCGGTTGATATTCAACAAAGTTATTGATTTATATATTGGGAAATTCGGGTTTTATTCAAATGAGTGTAACTTTTCTCCTATTGGTCCTAGCAAAAATTGTCCAAAGGAGTTCAGATAGCTATTTCTTCTAAGTCCAGCAGTTCTTGACCGATAGAGCAGAAAATTTGTGTCTGACTTACTATCCAATAGTATTAACCTTAGTGCAAATTTCGTCAAATCGATTTTTTGAGTTGGGTCACTTGACATGAAATTGCCCATATGCTTAAAGGTACGAAAACTCGGTTTTACTAGTATCTAAAGATTTTGGAGGTTTTTGTCAAATTTTAAAAATAGATTCTTGTTCTACTCATATCTACCTTTCAGAAAAATAGTATCACTTCCCAGGTATTGGTAGGTGGGACTTTGGTCTTCAATTATGGCTAAAAACTTAAAAATCTACCCATTTGAAAAAAAAAATGATGGAGGGTTAAGTTAACTTTTTCGTATTTAGTTGAATTTTAGTATAAAGTGAAGTTTTATTATTTTGTTTCTTATGCAATATGTTGTTTTTTTACTTTTAGTTTACAACTTATATTTAAAAACAACCTTTTTAACTTTAATATTGCAAGAAAATTTCATTTTTGGCCCTCCTAAAAATTTCTAATATTCACAGGAGCTAAAGATTGAATTTTTTAAGCAAACCGTGTTTAAATATAATTTATAAGGCTGACAACAGTTTTATATGTTTTTATGTGCAACTCCGCCCTCTATTGCTGTTCCGCCTACTATATTTGGTATTTTCATGTCCTAAATATTTATATTAATAAGAATATAATTACACAAAATTTGGTGACTCTAGCTGTTAAGTATCCCAGATATATAAACTTTTGTATTTAATTTATATGAGAGATGTCATGCACACATTGATAGTTGCCGCATTTTTCCCAAATTGTTCATATCAATGTCAAAGTTGCCATTGAGTACTATAGTTGTTACAATTTCCCAGATATACGAATTTTAGAATTTGACTAGTATGGGAGTTGCCTCGCCCCCCAATGCTAGTTCGCTCATTTTTTTTCTTAAAATATTTATAAAACGAAAAGTTATAATCATTAAAAATTTAAAAATTTGCTAAGAAAGTTAAGCAAAATAGATAGTTTACGATCAAGTGATAGTTCGTGATCAAGTGATAGTGTTGAAATACAGTTGTAATGTTTTGGCTCCCGGTGTTTTCTAGTATTTACTTTTAAATAAGTTACAAGTAAAATCAGTTACTATAAAAAAATTATTTTTGGCCGCCATTTCTAAAAATGGTACATAAACGAGTTAAGAAAAACGAAATCACGCAATTAATACAAACAAACATCACATGGAAAGATTTATAGGAAATATATGGCAACAAAAATAAATGTTTCAAAACATTTGCTATTATTATTTTATAATTAATAATAATGTTTTCCAGTTAAACAATATAAAGAAGTGTTTAACTATAAACCTTTGTGATTACTGATGATACTGTTATTAACACTTAAAACTAAAATTTAAAAGAAATACAGACAATTGAAAAAATATGTTTTCCTATCAAAATAGTTTTTAAAAAGCGCTATTGTTTCTGCCGAAATAAGTATGGAAAATTTTAGCGCCCCAGCCCCTGTTGCGTTTTCTACAATCGTACCAAGGTATATTAATTTTATAAGGTAGTGTCATCGATTATATTTTTTTTATATGTAGTTTGACATTGCGTCTGTACTTGAAGGCGAATTGGCTGGAAGGGAAAAATTTCAAAAACAGCTGACAAATAAATCAAAGCGAATTTATATTAAACAAAAAATATTTATAATATTTAAACTTTTAGGGCCAATCTTTAGGTGAAAGATTAGCGATTAAATTAAAATTAATCCTCGAAAGATGTTTTTGAGTACTCAATTAGTTAATTTTGTTTGCAATTTTAAGCGCCCAATGGAGGTGGTTTAATCTTAAGCACGAAATGCAAAAGTGTAAACAGCTGACGCAAAAAAATTAATACAATTTTTATAAATATAAACATTAAAATGTTCTATTTTTTGATTAGTATAATTTATAGACACTTCAAAATACATTTTTTTTGTTTTTAATTTAAGTTTTCATTAATTTTCATATTAAATTTACAATTGTCTTCTTCTTTTTTATAAAATATGCATTGTTTTGATAACAAACAGTGAAGTTTTCTGTTGTTTTGTACGGCAACACTGCGAAGTTTAATCTTGTACTCAAAAACATCAAAGAGGATTAACATAAGATTTAATTTATTTTTAGATTAACTAATCTGATTATTAATTGGCATTTGATTATCATCTCAAAAACCCGCTCACAAAAATATACCCTAATCACACAATTTCACTTCAATCACAAAATTCACATATACAAAATGAAACCAGTTTGACATTAACAAAATGAAAACAAAGTTTGACATTCATAAAATGTAAACAATGTTTGACAATAATTATACACCACGGCGAAAAATGAACATAATAGCAAAAAACGATCAGCTGTTCTGATAACACTACCTTATAATTAATATATCTTTAATCGTACCAAGGCGAATTCAGATGAGGTGGTGGCAGTTCGGCAACAACAAAATTTTCCATGTAATTTGTTTTTGCATTTGGTACGCACTGATGTCAAAAACAATAATTGCGTCGAATTCATTTAATGAAAATATTTTGTAAAATTTTTATATTTTATAAAAAATACACATAAAATATTAAAATTTACCATGAGTGGAAGAATGTTTGTTCCAAATGAGAAATTCTTCTCCGGCAGATTAATTTTGTAAAACCTAAGTTTGTGACCAAAATTATGTAAAATTAATATTTTTGGGAAAAATAAACATACAAATGTAAAAATTTGTGGGAAAAATAAATACCGAATGAAAGTTGTAAATGGAAAATTCTACTCCGGCGGAGTAATTTTTAAGATTTACACTTTGTAGTCAGCTGCCGCTGGACGGATAAATACCTCATATGGATTTTGATATAAAAAGCGTTCCGGAACATAATTTTGTTAGTTAATCACATTATGTACACAGCGTAAATATAATACAATTTATTAATTTTTTTAGATCTGAAAATTTGACCATAACGTAGAACACGGCTGCCGCCAGTTGCGTCTACCTAAAAAAAAATTGTGGTCAGCTGTTGAATTGACTTCACCTTATGATTGCAACTCTAAATGGTGTACTTTTACAGTTGCGACTACTTCTTCTGTTGCTGTTACTCTCAGTAACATTGTCAATCATTGGAGAAGACCACCGAAACATATGTTTTTATTGTGGTCTTTACTAAAGTGTTTGGTGTAAATAGATATTTTCATTCATTTTTATTATTTTTTTCTCTTTTTTATCTCTTTCTTTTCGGTTCTTTTTTTCTTTTCCTTCTTTCTTTCTCTTTTTTTCTGTTTTCAAAAAAACGTGTAAACGTGAAACCTTGGTTTAGTGATTCTACTCTTCCAAGGAAGGTTATATGTATGGTGAACCGCCTGAAGTTCAACCACACGAGATACTTAGATCAGTTGCGTCTACCTAAAAAAAAATTGTCATCAGCTGTTGAATTGACTTCACTTTATGAAAAATTAAAATAAAAAAAAAAAAAAAAAAAAACAAAACATTCAATGGAGAACTGCTTGTTTGATTAGTGTGTAAAAATACGCAAATCTTTTTTCTTTTCACATTATCAATTTTTATGGAATTCAAGTAATTTTCTGAAGGAGGGTTTGTATGGGG